TAAGATCAAGAGTGATGCTTAGTTTTATGCTTGGGACGATCCATATTTGTGGAAGCATTGCGCTAACCAAGTGATAAGAAGGTGCGTACCTGAACATGAATTTACTTTATTCTAACCTTCGTCCTCTATGCATGTGGAGGACATTTTGGACCACAGAGGAAAGTCGTAAGGTATTGGAAGTGGCTTTATTGGCCATCGTTGTTCAAAGACGCCTACATGTTCTGTAAGTCATGTGATACTTGCCAAAGAATAGGAAACATTTCTCGTAGAGATCAAATGCACAATCTCCCATATTTATTGTTGAAATTTTGATGTTTGGGGCATTGATTTATGGGCCCTCCTGTTTCCTTTGGTATGTTTATTTCTATTAGCTGTTGATTATGTTTCCAAATGGGTGGAGGCGAAAGGCACCAGAACTGACAATTCAAAGGTTGTTGCAGATTTCGTTAAAACTCACATTTTGTCAGGTTTGGGATACCAAGGGCCATAATCAGTGAATAGGGCACTCATTTTTGCAACAGGACAATAGAGGCATTGCTAAGAAATACATGTCACACACAAGGTCTCCACATCGTACCACCCATAAACCAATGGCCAAGCAGAGGTGTCAAATAGAGAGATCAAGTTAATTTTGGAAAAGACAGTGAACCAAACAGAAAGGATTGGTCTTTGAGATTGACGATGCATTATGGGCATACAGAACAGCATATAAGACACTATTGGCATGTCCCCCTACAGATTAGTGTTCGGTAGTCGTGTCATCTTCCATTGGAATTAGAGCACAAGGCTTATTGGGCGATCAAGCATTGCAATATGGAGATGAAGGAAGCTGGCGTTAATAGGAAATTGCAATTGCAAGAACTTGAGGAGTTGAGGAATGATGCCTACGAGAGTTCACACTTTACAAAGCAAAGACTAAAGCCTCTCATGACAAGATGATCTCAAGGAAGACTTTCAGTTGGACAGAAATCCTTCTTTTCATTCAAGGCTGAAGTTGTTTCGGTAAGTTACGTTCTCGTTGGGTGGGACCTTTTATTGTGACTAATGTTTTTCGTCATGGTGCAGTGAAAACAGAGTTTGAAAACAAACAAGGGGTTTAAGGTCAATGGACATAGGCTTAAGCCTTACTATGAAGGGTTCCAGGTTACACTATCGAGGAGGTGGGATTGGAGGAGTCAATACATGAGTAGTGAGACCATGCGGAGAGTCGAGCCAACGACGTTAACCAAAGGCGTAATTGGGAGGCAACCCAAGAATCAAGATTTGATTTTCTTTTCCCTTGACTTTAGCTTTTATAGTTTAGCCATTTTATATTTTATTCTTTAATTTTATTTTTGTTTTTTGTTTTGTTGTTGTCTCTACATTTGGGATATTACATTGGGGACAATGTAAGTTTTAAGGTGGGGGAGAAGTTAGGCTTGGATGGGTTTTATATTCTGTTTTATTTTGGTTTTATATTCTGTTTTTATTTATTTTTTTCTGTTTAGGAGTATGTCTATGTCATTTAAAAAAAAAAAAAAAAAAAAGGAGTTTTTGTTTTTAGGGCGATCAAAGCTTTAAGTCATGTCTTGTTATTGAAAACTACCTTGAATTAGGAGTTAGCAATATTATAAATAGAGTTAATCATATTTGAATCTGTGTTAGTTTTTGAAACAACATGTCTTGATAAGTGTGTAAACTGGTGACGAAGCAGACTGAGGAGGTATATAAACCCCTTAAAAGAAAAAAAAATTGTTTCTCTTAAGCTAGTCAAATTTGGGTTTAAGCAAATAGGAAAAAGAAAAGAAAGGTATGTGGTGGTCGAGATGGAGCGTAAAAAGCACTCACTCATAAACACAACCATGAAATGAGATGGAGCATAAAATGCACTCATTGTCAAAAAAAAAAAAAAAAAAAAAAAATCTAGTTTGCTACCCAGTTGTAGTAGTAAAGAGAAACAGTTGAGGAAAAGTTGGGGTGAGTTGATAATGAATTGGTTGTGATAGTCTTCTTGTTTGCATTAAATGATTGAGAGTAATTGTGGAAAATGATGAAGAGATACGAATGTCATTAACTCAACTTATTTATCTTTGCTGCTTCCTAAGTTAGGTATGAATGCATGGATTAAATAGTGTGCTATGCATCATGAGGTGTTCTGGATATGACTTGAGTGTAGTTTTTTTTAGTGTTTGAATTAGTTTGCCGAGGACGTGCAAAAGCTAAGTGTGGGGGAATTTGATAAGAGTGTAATTACATATTTTTATTCCTATCATATTTGTTTTTGTATGTTTTATGCCTAATTGAGTTGATTAGAGTTTATTTGTAAGTTTGACATATTTGGATAGACTTTAGGAAATAATTGAGAAAAGATTAGGAAATTCCAGATTTTCCCGATTTTTCGTTATTCTGACCAGTGCTACGTTTTTCAGGTTTTTCAGGGAGCTAGATTCCTCAATTGAAAGTGGTCTTCAGACAAATTAAAGTAGACGAATCAAGCTTTTCAGGAAGGTATGGGCAAGAATCCAGTTCGTTTGGGTTCTCAGTAGTTGTTGCAAAACCGGATGGAATCCTAGTCGCAGAAGGATTCCTTAGTGAGCAGTGAATTTCGAACGGGCTAATGGAGCGTCAGATTCGAAAACGGGTGATTCAAAAGCCCAGATTCATCTACACATCCTAGAATACAATTTTTATGAAGTGATGGAGCCCAAGAAAGATCTTTTACATGGCGAGAATTCGGTGCAAGTGGAGACGAATTCTGGAATCCATATCTGATCGAATTTTATCAAATCTGGAGTCTATCTTCTAGGAAACGTCCAGGAAAGAAATTCCGTGTGTTCTTGGGGAAGAATTAAGGAAAACACATGTTATTTAATTAGAAGTTTTTAGGTTAAACGGGGGGAGGACGTAGAGTTTGAATTCTGTAGAGTTTTGCGTTCTAGATCAAGATGTGCGGCTAATCCCTTCTTCAGTTCAAGGGATTTTGAGCCTAATTTCATGTCCTTGGTGAACACAACCTCAGTAACATTGTTCTTAATTCGGTTTTATTGGAATTGTTTAGATTCTGTTTTAATTGTTTGTTTGTTTGAGTGATTTAGTTTTGGCCTGCTAAATTGTTAATCAGAATTTACCTGTTAGAATTAGGAATTGTGATCGTATTGTCCCTTTCTATTCAACGAGTGACACATGATGATAGCTGATTATGGACAAGTTTTCGGGTCATTGTCTTGAATAACATAACCTAAGTTAAATAATCCGAGCTTGCGTGATTGTTGCTTAGATTGATCTATTCTCCTAATTCTTAAGGCTGCCATTGAATTAAATTTAGAGAGCTTGTTCTAGGTTGTTCAAGGGTTAGTATCTACTCGAAGAGCTTGTTTCGGTAGTGACAAACTAAGGGAGAATTCGGGTAACAGAGCTTGTTGTTTCCTAGGGTCAGTAGTTTCATAATGATGAGATAGAACAGTGTTACGGTTACTTTATGTCCAATGCATGTTTAGGTGGATCTTGAAACGAGAGCTGATTGTTTAACCTGATATTTTATTTCTCTGTTCTACTTTAGTTTGCTTTGATTACAAATCCCCCTTCATTACTGTTGTCAAGTTTATTGTTTAGAGTTTAATTTGCGTTTCTGTTGTTTTTAGTGTTTTAGAATATAGAAATTAATCGAGTCATTCCCTGTGGGATCGATCCTTGCTTGCCCTTTATACAATTCATTAGTTCGGTCAGTAAGGTTAATTAATTTGGTGCATTCGGCACGCTATCATGTAGTATTATTCTTATTCTAGAGTCTCACCCTTAAAGTGATAGAAAAGTGTTTGATATAACGTAAAGGGGTAAATTGGTCATTTTGCAGGAGGCCACGCATGTTAGCAAATTGTAGCCTCTAATAATGCTCCAGCACACGTTAGCAGACGTCGTCCCCGACGTTTTTGGCCCTTTTTCTGCGATTCTTCCACCATTGTCACCACCATTCGAGCCCTCATCTTCCTCTCTACAGAACGTCACCCTTCACAAACTCTCATCACTTGCTGATGGTCAGTCATGGTAGCCACAACATGCAATTGTTTTTTGTCAGTTTTTGATTATTTTGAGCAGCGACAACCCCAACCACTGCCACAATTTGACTCCTCGCATCCCCCCTTCAAAACCGCTAACCTTCCTGGTCATGACAATTCACTATTTGCCATCCATCACTTCACCAAAAACGAGATGAACACGAACCTCTCGGCTGGTGAACGGTGACTAAATAGTTGGTGGGGACATAGGGGTTTTATGGAGTTGGGATGGTGGTTGCAGTGGTGGTGTCCAATTAGATTTTTACCCTCGGAATCGATCGGAATTCAATAAAGACTAGCCAAACCCTAAACCTAAATGTGCTGGCGATCGAAAGGGCCAATGAGTCGAGAACTAGAGGGGTTTTGGACGACGGACTACGGGAAAGGTGATGGAGGTGACCAAGGGGTTCAACATCGTCGGAAACAACCCAAATCAAGCAAAAATTGAAGGGTGTGCAAATATCGAGAGTGTTATTAAAGTAATTTGAAAATAAAATGATAAATTATAATTATACTAATTTAGGGGTTAAAACATAATTTATTAATTTATTTGTTAAATGTATTATGATGATTACATTTTTTATAACCTAAAAATTGGTACCCATGTTAGTTTAAACGTGAGAATATGAAATAAATAGAACAGAGGTTTCGCTGGGTGGGAATATGTCGTATTGTCGTTTACTCTATTTTATTTATGTATTTATTTCTGCAGATGAAAACTACCCAGCAACAACCAATTCAATGCTCAACAAAAACGAACAAATTATTGCGATAGTCCACGGACGCCATAATTGACTAAACGGGTTGTGCAGTTGGACCTTACGGATTCACATGGAGCCAATAAATAAATGGTTACTTATTTCTAATCGTCATCTTTTTAAAATTTTGTTTGACCAAACACTTGAAATTATTTTCATAATCGTTGTGGTGCAATTTGTTTATCAATTTTCTGAGGAATATTATTAATTCTTATGTCACTGTATAAAATAATACATTTGAGTTATTGACTTACCAAATTTATAAGCTTAATCCGGAGAGAAAACCAATCTCATTGTTCTTTCTGTGTTTGTGAACTGATTCCTTTACATTAATAGAAGAATCCATGGCTGTGGGAGAGCTCTTTCTCTCTGCGTTCCTTTCGTTGTTGTTTTAGAGGCTGACATCTCGTGAGTTGCTGCAATTTGCGCTTCGAGAGAGGGTGCATTCAAAGCTGAAAAAGTGGGAAAGAAAGCTGAAGATGATTGAGGCAGTGCTCAGTGATGCGGAGGAAAAGCAGTTGACTGAAAGGGCTGTGAAACTGTGGCTCGATGATCTCCGAGACTTGGCTTATGATGTGGAGGACATACTGGATGAGTTTGCCACTGAAGCTTTAGGGCGAAAGCTGATGGCAGAAGACCATTCCACCGTAATTAGCAAAGTGCGGGACCTGATCCCTGCTTATTTTTCTCGTCGGAGTCCAAGTGCTGTCAAGTTCAATGTCAGTTTGGGGTCCAAGATAAAGAGTATCAGCAGCCGGCTTGAAGAACTCTGTGAACAAAGAAATGAACTTGGATTGGAAAAGATTGCTGGAGTGGCGTCAACTGCCAAATGGCAAAGACCATCCACTACATGTGTGCCAGTTGAACCTGCTGTCTATGGTAGAGAAGATGATAAAGCTAGAATTCTTGAAATGGTTTTGAAGGATGAACAATGTAATGCCAATTTCAGTGTAATACCGATTGTTGGCATGGGAGGAATTGGAAAAACAACGCTTGCTCGCCTTGTGTACAATGATAAAGCAGTTGAAGATTTCAACCCAAGAGCATGGGTTCATGTTTCCGAAGACTTTGATGTTCTGAGGATATGTAGGGCAATTCTTGAGTCTATCACTTTTTCTTCCTATAATTTGAAGGACTTAAATCAAGTGCAGGTTAAACTGAATCAGGAGTTAACAGGGAAAAAAATTTTGCTCGTCTTGGATGATGTTTGGAACCAAGATTATGGCTTGTGGGAAACCCTGAAATCTCCCTTCATGGCTGGAGCACCAGGTAGTAAAGTAATTGTGACCACTGGCAGCGGAGAAGTTGCTTTAACAATGGGACCTAATGAATATCATAACTTGAAGCTTTTGTCGGATGATGGTTGTTGGTCCTTGTTCATGAAGCATGCCTTTGAGAGTAGAGATACTGGTGTACATGGAGACTTAGAATTCATTCGTAAGAAAGTTGTTGAAAAATGTCGAGGCTTGCCTCTTGCGGCGAGAACTCTAGGTGGTCTTCTACGCTCTAAGGAGAGAGATCGTGAGTGGAAATATATATTAAATAGCAAAATATGGGATCTATCAGATAAAACTGACATCCCCACAGTTTTGAAATTAAGCTATTTCCATCTTCCATCACATCTTAAAAGATGTTTTGCTTACTGTGCAATTTTTCCGAAAGGGTATGAGTTTGAAGAGAAGGAACTCGTACTTTTATGGATGGCAGAAGGTCTTATTCAAGAATCAAAAGACAACAGACAAATGGAGGATTTAGGAGGTGAGTACTTTCATAATCTATTGTTAATGTCATTTTTTCAACCATCAAGTAATAACTGTTCTAAATACTTGATGCACGATCTTATCAATGATTTGACTCAATGGGTTTCTAGAGAAACAAGTTTTAGATTAGAAGATGAGTTGAAAACATTAGAAAAGGCTCGCCATTCTTCCTATACATGTGATATATATGATGGAAAAAATAAATTTGAGGTTTTCTATAAGGTTGAGCTTCTAAGGACATTCATGTCGATAATCCTACATGATGATCCTTGTTTCATAACAAATATGGTTGTTTCCGATTTGTTTTCAAAGCTTAAAAAATTAAGAGTGTTATCTTTAAGAAGATACCATAATATCGAGTTACCCAATTCACTAGGAAGTTTAAAGCATTTGATGTACCTTAACATTTCTAATACAATGATAAGAAGTTTACCCGAGTCAACAAGCTCATTAGTAAATTTACAGATTCTGATACTAAGAAATTGTTTTCGCCTCACAAAGTTGCCTTCCAACATAAGAAATTTGATCAAACTTTTTCATCTTGATATTAGAGGTGTAACATTGATAAAAGAGATGCCACTTGGAATGAAAGAGTTGAAATGTCTTCATACTTTGTCTAATTTTATTTTAGGCAAAGGCATTGGATCGAATTTGAAAGATTTGAAACTTTTAAAGTTTCTTCGTGGAGAACTTTGCATATCAAGATTAGAGAATATGTTTTATTCTCAAGACACAAGAGAATTCATATTAAATGATAAGGAAAATCTCCAATCTTTTTTGCTCGAATAGGAGTCTCAATTTGATGACTCACGAAATGAGGTTGTAGAAAAAAATGTTCTTGGGATACTACAACCTCACAGAAATCTAAGAGAGCTCACAATCAAATGTTATGGAGGCATAGAATTTCCATCCTGGATAGGAGATCCATCCTTCTCCAACATAGTGTTCCTAAGATTGGAACATTGTGAGAAATGCACCACCTTACCTTCCTTTGGACAATTAGGCTCACTTAAAGACCTCAACATTAAAGGGATGAAAGGACAAAAAACCGTTGGTGCAAAGATTTATGGTGAAGGTTTCTTGAAGTCTTTTCAATCACTAGCGACACTTTGTTTTGAGGATTTGGAAGAACGGGAGAGTAGGGAGCCAATCAAGGAAAATGAGCGTATGGCAGAAAGATTCCGTCGCCTCCGTGAGCTTTTTGTTGTAAGGTGTCCAAAACTTTCAGGAAGATTGCCTGACCATCTTCCATCGTTGGAGAAACTTGTGATTCGTGAATGTGTACAGTTGGTGGTTTCAATGTCAGGGCTTCCAATGCTCTGCGAATTAGAAATAGATGGATGCAAAGAGGTGGTCTGTAGTACTCCAATGGAGTCTAACTTACTGCACTCTAGGACTCTTTCGTATATTTCAGACTCTGGAAATTGGTCAAGGCAAGGGTTTCAAAAAGTAGAACGCCTAAAGATCATTGGCTGCAGTGAAGAGCTCATAAGTTTGTGGCAGAAAGAGCTTTGTCTTGCGAAACAACCACAATCGCATAGACTCATCTTTCTCAGGAAGCTATGCATTGAAGACTGTCGAAATCTTGTTTCATTTCCAGAGGTTTGTTTCCTTTCCTCTTTGGGTGAACTTGAGATAAAAAATTGCAATTCGTTGACATCTTTGCCTGAGGGAATGAAGGACAACACCTGTCTTGAATATTTGGTAATCGAAGGTTGCCATTCTCTAACACTCATTATCAGGGGCATGCTACCTTTGTCTCTAAAACACCTTGAGGTAAGAAACTGTGGTGTTTGTTGGATGATAGCGAGGATAATTCTACTTCTTTATCTTCTTCTGCTTCACTGATTCACAAGACCAGCACCTCTCTTCTCCAGTACTTGTATATTTCTCAATGCCTATCTCTTACTTGCCTATCATCAAGAGGCCAGTTACCAGAGGCACTTAAACTCCTTAAAATTGAAAGGTGTCTCAAGTTAAGAGTCCATAGCAGAGAGGCTTCATGATAACATGTCTCTTGTATATCTTCGTATAACGGATTGTAAAAACCTTAAATCCATATCCGAAGGCCTACACAATCTTAACCATCTCTATCGTATGTATATAAGTGGTTGTCCAAGTCTTGTTTCCTTGGGAAAAGAAGGGCTTCACAACACCAACTTAATAATTCAAGTGCGCGGTTGCAAGAAACTTGAGGCTTTACCTGGCTACTTACACAGCCTCAAATCTGTTTATTACTTTGAAATATGGAACTGTCCACTGATCGCATCATTCCCAAAAGAAGGTTTTCCCATCATCTTAAGTACACTTTCAATTTCAGGTGTCAGTATCTGGAAGCCATTGCTTGAATGGGGGCTACACAAACTCACTTCTCTTAGACAGCTTCGTATTGGTGGATCTCCAGATTTTGATCCAGTGACTTTTCCGCCTGAGGAGATGGGAATGATATTGCCCTCCTATCTTATTGCTTTAAGCCTTTAACCATTGATAGTTTCGAGAAACTGAAATACCTGTCTTCAAAGAGTTTCCAGAACCTCACATCTCTTGAATATTTATACATTTTTGATTGCCCAAAGCTCATATCCTTACCAGAGCCAGGCCTGCCATCCTCGCTTTCGCATTTGTATATTCGTCATTGTCCTGCACTGAGTAAACAGTGCAAAAAGGATAAAGGACATATGTGGTCCAAGATAAGCTACGTTCCTTGCATTCAGATAGATGAGAAATACATCAACGACCTAGACGAGGAAGAATGAGCTCTATTTTATCTCATAATTGTAGAGAGAGTATGGAACCAGAGAATTACCTTATTCAAGCCTTATACCCTATTCCAGGTTTGTCAAAATCTAACACCCAAACAAATAATTTCCTTAACAACAAATAGCTTAAGACTTTTTATGAATGAGTTTTATTTGATGCTATACATGCAGGAAGCAACTGAATTCCCAGATGCAATAAATCAATTTGAAGTGGGTCAACTGGAAATGCTAACCTTCATGTTTTAGCCAAAGAACAAGAAGTAAAATGCAGCTCTGGTTCTAATTCTGCAATTTGTAATCCTCTGTTAGAATTCGGTATTACTAATATGCCTTCAACGGAAAGTGTCACTAACTTATTCTTATTTTATTAGGAAGTTTACCAAGGTAATTTTATTATCAATGCTGATTTATGGAACTGTCAACAAGAGGCTCATATCGGTGTACAAAATTTTGGAGTCAGGTAATTAGTACTATTCTGTTGTTTCATTTCATTTGATTAAGCTGAATTTAGTTCTTTGTTCTGTAGCTGAAATTTAACTGTTTGATGTCACTTTTCCGTTCTAGAAATCTTCTTGATCCAGATGCTACAATGCTCATTTTTCCAGTAATTTGCTTCAGATGTTACATACTGAATAATAAGTCTTTCATTTTTCAGCTCAATAAAGATGCAGGTTAATAACAGGGCTTACCAAACTGCAGATAAAATGCTTGAAGTGTAGACAATGGAACTCTTCAAACTGATAATTAAGCACATTGTGCTTTGAAAGAGTGAACATATAATCAGCTTAGAGAGGTAATTCATCCAGCATTACTAATAGAACAATTCAGCAGTTTTTGTCATCTTTCTTACTAGTTTGCTATATGTTCAAGCTTAACTGTTGTAAAATCACACTCAGCTAATAAAGGTGAAGCAAGAGTACCTTCTGAGCCGTGGATTGCATCAACTATATAGACATATTTTGGATAAAAAATGCTTACGTAAAACTCAAAAGCGGAATCATACGAGTGAGACACATTTGAAGCTAATAGATGCGCATTTAGATCCAGACTGCCACGTTTACACCAGTGCTGTAACAGGTATCTGTCATTTCTTAATATATATTTCTTTTGCCTCGTTTATCATTGTGCCTTCATCATTTTTGCTATCTAGTTGATATAAGGATTGGTTCATAACTTGTGTTTAAGGTAAATACAAATTTAGTAGTCAATTTTGCAATGTACTGAACAAATCTATTGTAATGCTGTATAGTACTAATGTTGAGCTTGAACTAAGTCCTGCAAATTTATCCAGGCATGATTTGAATTGTTTTGGACAATTCTGAGTTCTTCTAAACATCAAAGAGAGCTTTTCCCAACGTTTATCCATATCACTGTGGGTTTAGTGTTGAACAATTGTACATGTCACTATGCTAATTAGTGATCAAAATCATGTCGATTTTTAAGAATTATGTTACAGGTTTACGAATTGTGATTAAGTCATAGTACTTAGATAATGTTTTACTAATGTTAGGCCTTTATTTAATAGCTTAAGCTTCCAGTGAACTGGTTTTTTTTAAGTATCTAAATATCTTAAGTTTCAATCCACTCAATCAAGCCTCTAGGATTTGTCAGTTCTGGTTCTCTCTATCCAAACTTTGCCCTTTGATCTGTTTGATAATCGGTTTAAGTTTTTAGATCTAGTGATTTCTTTACAATTATATATTGAGGACCAATCTTGTAATTTCAGTCTTCCATACATTTGATGAATGACGCTAAAGACACGGAAATATATGTATTGTTTACCAGCTTTGAGCAAATATGAAGGTTTTTCTTTTCATATTTTATTTTAACATCCACTTGGTTTGTGTTTGCTGAACATGTAGCTCTTCTTCATATGAGACATGAAGTAGATTGATGATGTGGTAGACACTGATACACTCTGATTCTTGGAGCTTCAGGTGTTTCTTAGGCCAACTCGGTATATGCAACTAAGATGATTCTTGAATGACCATTTCTGGAGTCACTATTTACATAATTTTTCTACAGAAGTTGTTCTAAGAAGAAATGTTTTAAGTATTTTTGGATTCTAAATTGCTGGCGTACTGTAGATGTACTGTCAAAATTTCTGCTATTGGCTTCTTTAGCCGCTGCTTTCTACAGTTTTCCTGAGGTGTAGATTTTAAAATGTTGGAATTAAGTTTGCGGGAGAATTCTGAAAATGCTGGTTCTGTTGTATTTCTGCTCAAACTTTGTTTTTTCTTATTACGAACAATATGTTGTTACTGACCTTTATGTACATAAAGGTCATTTGCCTTTTTAAGTAGAGTACATGTCGCATGTTCAACCATATCAGTTTTACAAGTCTAATTTTTTATGGCTAATTTCATTTTCAATGCCAAAATTGGCATCTTTTTTAATTTCCAACAGTGGCCTAAACTCTCAAGAGTCTGTTTGTTTAAATATTTTTAACTATCCTATTCATATTATTTCCAAAATAGCAGTTTGTTTCCCTATTCTGAAAATACTATTATATTTCTTCAATTACTTTTAAACCCCTTAAGTTTATTAATTTAATTAAACACTCTCAGAAAAAGTTTAAAAATTAACAAAAACACCCCTACCCACCCACATTTGCCAAATTCCGGCCACCACCACCAGAAGGTGGTCGGAATCTGGTATAATGGCACACTACCGATTAGATTTAGCCGGCAGTGCTCCGATCTATCATTTTTCGGTGGATCTGGCGGGAAAAGGCCAGATCCACGGCCAAAGATCTGGCCTTTGACAGCCAGATCTTTGGCCGTAGCTATATCTTTGGTTGTTGTTGACGACCAAACATTGCCCGATTTGGCCTTTTCAGACCAGATCCAACCGGTCATGCACCGATACGGTGACTCCGGCCACCCTTCGGTGGTGGTGGCTAGCTGCCGGAATTTAATGGGTGGATGAGGGTGTTTTTGTAATTTTTAATGTTTTTATTACAGGGGTGTTTAGTTATTTAACAAACCTAGGGGGTGTTTTGGTAATTTTTAAATCCTACCTCGTTGTTCCCACCCAACTCTAAAAAATCAAAAATACTATCCAAAATACTAAAAAAAACACACCCTTGGTTCTTTTTACAAGTTGCAACCTTGATTTTGACAAATCCATAGATCTATAAATTCATTTCAAACAATAGTTTCTTTTATAAGAACAACAAAGTTTGAACCAAAGCAACAAGTACCAAAGAGAATGTAATGAATCTTAAAAATACTGTTTCTATATCTCCTTACTCAAAATTCATCCATGTTGAATTATGTGTTAATGGTTGATCAAGTTTGATAGATTTTGTTAAGATAAACTTGTTCTATGTGAGGGAACAGTACCTCCCAAGAACAAAGAAAAAGAAGAGACTTTAATCCAATCGATACCATGTTTTCAGAACTACTACTCTTAAGTCTTAAATACCTAACAAACCAAGTATTCCTAATGACTATAGGAAACCTACGTAATGTAAAATTACAAATAAGACATAATCATAATTCCTAATATGAAATAAATCCTAATTAACTAATAATTGATCAATACCAAAACCAACTAAATTACTTTCTTAACACATCCACTCTTCACTTATACTTCCATTGCCACATAATCCTTGGACCATATTAGAGGCTGCCGAACCCTTCTTAAAATTCTTCTTTCATTTTTATCATTTTCATCTACATCTGCATCCACTCTCCCAACATTGCCCATCCCATCCAGCACAACCTTGTCCTCAAGGTTGGAAGGCAACCCCCCATAATCTATAACCAAATTGCAGCATCTTCCCAGGATGCATCCTCCAAAGGTAGTCTTCCCACTGCACCAACAACTGCTCCACCAACGCACCTTTCTGATGCACAGTACGACGACCAACCACTGTCAGAGGCAAAAACAAAGGTTGTCCTTGATACATCGAAGGTGACAACAAAATTGTATCCTACGGTGGCACAGTGTGACGTGGTTTCAACAAGGATACATGGAACACAGGTTGTAATTAATTGATAGTTCAGTACGACTTTTAATAGGAAAAAAGTGATAGTTCAATACCTTCTAATGTTATTAAGCCTATAAAATATTATATATTGTTAAAATATCATAAATCATCATATACCCCCAATGATTACCGCTTATTCCCTTACGGGGGCATTTGGTTTAGAGAATGTTGTATTATTAAGAATATTATATTAATGGAAACATAGATTACCTTAAGGTAACGTTTAGTTCGGGCTGATCTAATATTAATCTTGTAATCTTTGTTTAATTTTCAAGATTCCCTCATTTGGTTATCAGGTAATAAAAGATTATGTAATCTTTTATTGCAAATAGTGATTACTGTTGGTAATATTGAGGGTAATCAGATTACCTTCCCAAAGGGTGTTAATATAAGATTACCAAGGTAATCTTAATTTTGAGCCCTTAATCTTTTATCATTTCGGACACATTTGCTCTCATATATCTACCAAATAACAATTACCCAGACCCCCTACATTTGAGAATTTAGCTAAAACACCCCCGCCACAAAAAGGTTTAAAAGTTAACAAAATACCCCTAACCACCTAAGACCACTGTTGGCCGCTAGACACCACCGCTAGCTGTCAGTGAAAGTCGTCATATCGGCACAAGACTGACATGATCTTATCGTCGTGTGCCGATAAGGACATTTCATGGCCAAAGATGTGGCCGTGAAATGCCATTGATCTGGCTGTGAAGTGGTCGTCGTTTCACGACCAAAGATCTGGCTGTGAAATGGTTGATGTTTCACGACAAAGATTTGGCCTTTTCATGGCCAAATCTGTGGCTGTTTCACGACCATATCTTTGGCCATGAAACGGCCATATTAATGGCCAGATCTAGCTATGAAATGGCCATAGTCAGGGCTAGATTTGGCCGGATTAGGCCTTATTAGCGCACGACCAACCAGATTCGGTCGGTCATGCGCCATTATGGCAGCTGGCTGCCGGTGGTGGCTTGGGGTGAGTGAAGGTGATTTTGCTACAAATTAAAGTTGTATATGATTGGGGTGTTTTAGTAAAATTTCAGATATAGGGGAGTTAAAAAAATAATTTAAAAAATAATAGAATAAAATAAAAATAAAAATAAAAATATATTATTATTTAAAAAGGAGGACAATTTAGTAATCTACATAACATACTCACTCATTTATCCTCCCAACCAAACATATTATTATAACATACCTACCAATTTATTTCAACCGACCAAACACATTTCTCTAAAGATTCCCTAGTAATCTATCTTTTCAATAATACAACATTCCTTAGTAATATAACATTCTCTGAACCAAACGCACCCTAAAAATGTTATATTAAATATGTGTAGTTAGATTTGAATAAATTTGTGGGTTTAATTAATATGTTTGCTTGAGAGGAATAAAATGATTCTAAAGAGGTATTTTACTGAATTGTCTTTCTTTTTTCATATTATTATTATTATTAATAATATAATACTATATTATATTATATATAATAATTTAGTAATGATATAGTAATATTACAATATAATTAATATAATTAATCTATTTTTATTAGAATTCCATTTTAATCTTGTTAGAATTTTAATTAATTAAAATTCATTGCCTAAAATTATTATTTGGTCCTCCACTTTTATATATTAGTTTTATTGTATGTAATATTTAACTATTGAGCAATTTCTTAGTAGTTATCCCCAACAATTTTCTTTGATAGANAGGTAATCTTAATTTTGACCCTATTTTGCCCTTAATCTTTTATCATTTCGGACACATTTGCCCTCATATGTCTACCAAATAACAATTACCCAGACCCCCTATATTTGAGAATTTAGCTAAAACACCCCTCCACAAAAAGGTTTAAAAGTTAACAAAATACCCCTAACCACCTAAGACCACCGTTGGCCGCAAGACACCACCGCTAGCTGTCAGCGAAAGTTGTCATATCGGCACAAGACTAACATGATCTTGTCATCGTGTGCCGATAAGGACATTTCACGGCCAAAGATGTGGCCGTGAAATGCCATAGATCTGTCTGTGAAATGGTCGTCGTTTCACTACCAAAGATCTGGCTGTGAAATGGTTGCTGTTTCACGACAAAGATCTGGCCTTTTCATGGCCAAATCTGTGGCTGTTTCACGACCATATCTTTGGCCGTGAAACGGCCATATTAATGGCCAGATCTAGCTGTGAAACAGCCATAGTCACGGCCAGATCTGGCAGGATTAGGCCTTATTAGCGCACAACCAACCAGATTCGGTCAGTCATGCGCCATCATGGCAACTGGTTACCGGCGATGGCTTGGGGTGAGTGAGGGTGATTTTGCTACAAATTAAAGTTGTATATGATTGGGGTGTTTTAGTAAAATTTCAAATATAGGGGAATTAAAAAAATAATAGAATAAAATAATAATAATAATAATAATATATTATTATTTAAAAAGGAGGACAATTTAGTAATCTATATTACATACTCACTCATTTATCCTCCCAACCAAACATATTATTACCCACCAATTTATTTCAACCGACCAAACACATTTCTCTAAAGATTCCCTAGTAATCTATCTTTCCAGTAATACAACATTCCTTAGTAATATAACATTCTTTGAACCAAACGCACCCTAAAAATGTTATATTAAATATGTGTAGTTAGATTTGAATAAATTTGTGGGTTTAATTAATATGTTTGCTTGGGAGGAATAAAAGGATTCTAAAGAGGTATTTCACTGAATTGTCTTTCTTTTTCCATATTATTATTATTAATAATAATATAATACTATATTATATTATATATAATAATTTAGTAATGATATAGTAATATTACAATATAATTAATATAATTAATCTATTTTTATTAGAATTCCATTTTAATCTTGTTAGAATTTTAATTAATTAAAATTCATTGCCTAAAATTACTATTTGGTCCTCCACTTTTATATATTAGTTTTATTGTATGTAATATTTAACTATTGAGCAATTTCTTAGTAGTTATCCCCAACAATTTTCTTTGATAGAAAGACTTCTACATGCTTTAAAAGGGAAACAGTTACAGGTCCTGAACACACGCAATTAACTCTTATATTCCCAAAATCATTGTTCTGAGAATTGCAATGCATTGGAAGAGTCTGTAATCTTTAAAGAAGACAGCAACAACAAATTGCTATGGCTGGAGGTTAGTGATTAAGTTATTTCGCTTCTACAAATCTCCATGATTGTATGAACATGTATATGAATAATGATATGAATATATACATGTTGATTTTGAGTAATTTTACATTATTGATCTTACATGTGGTATCAAAGCCTTTCTTTTAATCTTTGCCTGACATGTAATTGTTTGTTGCAAATTTAGAGTATGTTGCAT